CACACATCAAAATGAACAATGTGAAAAGGAAATTCAGATTTATYATTTTTTGAAAGAAAATGAGTTCAACACTACTTACTCAATTGACAAGTTTGACAAGAGAAATCTGAAACGGACATCGACTTAAACAATTCTGGAAACACCACTTTCGAAGACTCAAAAGATAAATGACCAAGACGATAATGCCATAAATAAACTTGACTCTTACAGGACTGACTCTTAGACTCTGTGACTTGAAGACCAACCTTATTCTCCAACATGTAAAGTTCATCAACCATACATCCTCTACCAATCGTCCTCCCCGAGGCCAGATCCTGTATCACACAGTAAGAAGGGGAAAAGGTCATTGAGCAGTTTAAGGAATTAGTAATACTACTAACAGAGAACAAATTAATGGGAAATTTCGGAACATGTAAAACATCAGAGAGGGTAAGGCCGAGAGGGAGAAAAATGGCTCCTTGACCAGCTATGGTAATGTATGATCCATCAGCTAGTCTCACCTTGTTTCTTCCAGAAAGAAGGTGATAGGTTTGAAAGTAAGAGGGCGTAAGTCATGTGTTTTGGTGCTCCAAAATCAATGATCCAGGGAGTGTCAGGGGTATGAGAAGCAACATGGAAATTTGTGGCAAAGCTACCTGATGTAGATACAAATGAAGTTGAGGGAGGAGCATCCATCTGATGAATTGCTCTACCATAGAGCTCTAAATGGTCACGGAAGGAATTTATAATATCCTCCCTTGGGTCAGATCCAGATGAATGTGTCTGAGTCACAATATGATTCTTCTGAGTAGCCATGTTTGCCATAGTGTGTTTTCTTGTACCTTGCTGTCCTAACTTTTTATTCATATCTGAACCTTGCTTCTTATTCAGATCTTGAGCCCATTTCGGCTTCCCATGAAGATCCCAGCATGTGTCTCGGGTGTGTTGGGGTTTCTGCAATGAGTACACTACAATTTGTCCTTGTCATCCATCTTTTTCTGAAGATCCCCCTTAGAAGTATTTCCCCCACCGGTAGTAACACTCCCTTTCGCTACCAACACAACTGCATGTCCTCCAGAACTGTTCATCAAATTCCTTTTGCTTTCTTTTGATTGTACAAGAGCATAAACTTCCTGAATTGATGGAAGATCCTTGCTACCTAGAATCTGGACTCTAATAGATTCATATGTAGGGTTCAAACCATGTAAGAAAGCAAACACTCTCTGTTGGGAGACAAGTTTTTTGTACAGTTTTGCATCTTCATCACACTTCCAGTCCACACTCTAATAATGATCTAACTCCTTCTAGACAGAGTTCAAGTCTGAGTAGTACACAGATAGACACCTCTCCCCCTGTTTACAAGTAGACGATTTTGCCTGTAGATGGTAGATTTTTGCATAGTGACGCAGTTCCGAATAGCTTGATTTTGCTTGTTCCCAGATCTCATTTGCCGTTTCAGCCCACACGAAATTCCTTCTTATTTGAGGTTGCATAGAAACTAAGAGCCAAGACATGACCATGCTGTTTCCCTAGTTCCATCTGTCATATTCAGCACTCCCAGAATGTGGTTCTTTGATTCTCCCATTAATATAATCTATCTTTCCCCTTGCAATGATGTACAACTTGATCCCTCTTGACCGCTCTAAATAATTTAAACCATCAAGAGGAATAACAGCCATGGGAAAGGATAGGTCCACACCCCCACTCATTCCATTCGGCATTAAGGAAACACCGGATGTAGCAGAATCTTCACCACTCATGCTTTCAGATTCAAAAACAACTCTTAAATGGGGTACACAGCCTTAAAGAAATTCAACACAGGGGGTACAAAATTTTTTTTTTCCTTCAGAAACACCTCCTTTTTAAAAACACAGGTGTTGTTACAGCACTAACAGGTCATCCCTTGACTTACAAGCTCAACACAAGTGTTGCCACAGTGCATACAGGTCATCTCTTGACCTATGCATCAACAGGACTGCTGTTACAGCAAGTACTGGTCACTTTCTAACCTTCAGTTCACCATAAAAGTTGTTGCAGCACACAAAAGGTCCTCACAACCTACAGTTTCACAGGGACCAGTCGACCCCACAAAAAAGGAAGGAAAGAGGTGCTGACCACCTCACATCTAATCGGCAGACCTAGTACAAGTTCTGCCCTGGCACACGACCAGAAAAAAAGAAGAGAGAGAGAGAGAAAAGTTACTTTAGTGTGTGAGATCTTCAATCAGCCGAACAGCAGGTGAGGGTGGCAGATCTGGAAATCTAGTGCGAAGAAGAAAAAAAAACTGTTCACTCGACTTCTCCTTTCAGATCTGATAGTCCCGCTCTGATACCATGTTATGCAAGAGAGAAGAATGGAAGAAGAGAGAAAAGAGAGAGAAGAAGAGAGAAGTTGAGCATGGTATTAATCTGTGCCAAAGGGAGTATGTTCTTGATTTGTTAGAGGAGATAGGATTGTTAGGTGCCAAACCAGCTGAAACACCCATGGAACTAAATGTCAAGTTAAGTTGTGATGCAGGTGAAAAGTTTGAAGATCCTAAAAGGTACAGGAGCTTGGTGGGTAAGTTGAATTACCTAATCATTACTTGGCCAGATATATCATTTGTAGTTAGTGTGGTGAACCAGTTTATGCAGAATCCTCGGGTTCCACATTGGGATGCAGTCTTAAGGATTGTACAATACTTGAAGGGAGCTCCAGGTCGTGCCTTGTTATATAAGAGTGGAGGAAATCTTGAGATAGAGGGATACATATCTGTTGATTCGGCCAATTGCCCGGTTCAATACCTAACAAAAAGTCTACTACAAGGTATTGTACCTTTCTTGGGGGCAATTTGGTGAATGGAAGAGCAAGAAACAGATAGTGGTGGCAAGAAGCAATGTTGAAGTTGAATATAGGGCCAAGGCACACATTACATGTGAATTAATATGGTTAAAGAACTTACAGGAGATGGGATATTCGATTGATACTCCTATGAAGCTATATTATGAAAACCAATCTACAGTGGAGAGATAAGCACTACATATGTAAATATGGGAAGTCAATACACAGACTTGTTCACTATACATTTGAGTCGGGGAAGAGTGGATTATATATGTAACAAGCTGGGACTATATGACATATACTCACCAGCTTGAGGGGGAGTGTTAAAGTCGGTTGTAAAACGGTAGTTTGGTCATTTTGTTTTATGTTAAGAGTAAAGTGTAATGTCTATTATGTTTTGGTTTAAGTGTTGTGCCCCATACTTAAGTAGGGGCATAACTGTCTTTGTCCTTTTAATTAGAAACCTATAAATAACATCTGGCCAACTAGAGAGATAGATCTTCCTTCTCTAGTTCGAACCAAATCTTCTCTCCTTCTCTTCTCTTCTCTTCTCTTCTCTCTCTCTCTCTCTCTCTCTCTCTCTCTTACTATTATTCTCTGCTAATCTAGGGCTAAAACTAGTACAGATCTGTTTTGTAACAATAAGAAAAAGAATTTCATTGGAGAAGGGAGTGAGGTATGGGAAGAGGGAAAGGGGAGGGAAGAAGGGATAATTGATGAAGAATAGAGAGAGAAAGCTGAAACATAGAGGGAGTGGTTATTGGAGTCTGAATTTGAAGATGGAGTTACTTTCATGGAATGCTGAGGGCTTGACAGATGAAAGAAGAAGAATGGTTGTAAGGAATGTTCTAAGAAAACACAGTCCAGATGTAGTGATGTGACACAAGAGACGAAGCTGGAGTCGTTTGATCTGTGAATGAAGAATGAAATTTGGGGGTCCAATAATAGGGAGTGGGCAAGTGGGTCCATTGGGAGGATTGTTTATCATCTGGGATCCAAGTGTCCTTACAAAGACTAAGGAGAAGAAGGGAGTTTTTTCAATTTCAATTTGCTTCCAAATGGCAGAAGGGGAGTGGAGGTGGTGGCTTTCAAATGTGTATCAGTTAAATGAATAAGGGGTGAGGGTGGAATTTTTGCTAATTGGGCCCTAGTATAGTAGTATTACCAAAATTTAGACAACTAACCAAAGAGGACCTTGGGGAAGTGTTGGGGATTCAAATGTGTAATTTGGATAGTTAGTTTTGATTTGTAATTGAGATGTTTCTGATAGATTAGCTGTCATGTGGGTGTTGCCTTAACACCTGGATAGGATGTAATATTTTTCTTTTCTAATGAAAATTTATTTTATTTTTACTATAAAAAAAATACACAAGTTGATACAAATCTACCTTCAACTAGCTGCATTATGTATCTATTTGATCAAATCCCCAGACCACCTCCTATCTACTACCCCTTTAAAACAAAAATTTGAGACCATTCCCAGTGTTTTAAAAGGTGTGGGAGGCATACGCTTGGAGGCACGCCTCCAGGCGAGGCGCTCCCAAAATGCCCTGAGGCGTATGCCAAAGGCGTTGACACCTCTGAGGCGTACACCTCTTGCACTTTTTTCATGAGGTGTGCTAGAAGCATACACCTCATGCGCCTCATGCACATTTTATATAAAAAGACAGAAAAAAAAAGAAAAAAGAAAAAAAGGAAAGGAAAGGAAAAGAAAGGAAAAGAAAGAGAAGAAAAAAAGAGAAAAGGAAAGAATAGAAAAGGGAAGGGAAGGGAAGAAAAGATAAGGGGAAAGAATAATGTTATGCATTATTCTTAAGGAGGTTATGCATCTTTATTCTTCTTAATATAAAAATTTTTTATTAAAAATAAAGGAAAAATGAGATCCCCCCTTCCTCTTCATCCTCCTCCTAACCCCCCTCCTCTTAAGGAGGCTTACACCTCCTTGTGTTCGGGAGGCTTACACCTCTAGGTAGTGGAACGCCTCGCGTCACGCCTCAGCGTTTTAAACCATTCCTACCAACTTTTCAACCTAAGTTGGTGCTTTACTGAAATAGTGAAGGAGATGCAATTGATCTAGCATATAAAAGGTTTAAACAAGAAGGGAAAATTTGCACAGAGATCCATACCCTTAGTGATCATGTGGTCAATATGGATTGAACATAATGCACAGATTGTTAATGAAAAACTATCCTATGAGGAAGTATAGGAGAATAGTAGCAGTGGTTCACACTTGGCCTTTTTTATAATAAGAAATCAACAAAAAAGAAAAATACAGAGAAAATATAAATTCTAATGACAAGATGTCACCTCATACAAAGAATAAAGCCCCTTGCAAAACCACAGCCTTACAAAACAAAGATCAACATACTCAGGCCCACCAAACTACTTGGAAACACAGGAAAGACTACCAACAAGACCTCAACAACACAACATAATGACCCAAGCCAACCCAAAACAACCGCAAAAACCTTCACCCCATTCTCTCAAAACAGACGTTTTTTCAGCAAGAATTAATTCACCTCCCGGAAAACCTCTCACCCTCTGAAAAAGCTCCTAAATCTCTAAGAACCAACTAAACCTAAGCCACAACATTAATCCCTCACAACCGCTTTTCACAGCCTCATACAATCCATATGAACAGATTATGATGACTCATTTATACCTCTCTTGCTTTCCTTTCCTCACACAGACACACACACACGCACCATTTAGAGAAAATATATAACAAGTATATCAAAATTTCATCGAACAAAAACACTAAGGGAAAACTAGTATTCTCACTTACAATATATAAATAAAGAATAAGGAAGCAAAACTCCATCAGAGATACCACATTACCTACCTACTTGGTCAACCAGTAAATTAGAATGAGAAATGTGCACACAGACGCAACAAGGGAAAGGATGATGGTATCCATAGATTTTCTCCTTTTTATTGCTGAGAGAATGTTATTTACCTGCACAAATATATCAAATGAGTTTTTTAATGAAATAGTAGAAACAATTACTCAGTATCTAATGATGCCAACTTTTTGTTATTGATGTATCTAACGATGTCGATTGGTAGCAAGAATACCTTCAATTATGCATTTTTAAGTAAGTTATCATACCGTTGGGAGGCGGCTGCTAACATTGGTCAGCTTTGAATTTAATCCCCCAAACATAGTACGCTGAAGGGAAAGTCCTCCGAGTGTTGTTTGTGCTTGTGAGATCACAGTGTCCATCTGAAGGCATCAAAACATCTTATATTGATGTCTTTTTCTGGACAGAGTTCATTTAAAATAAATGGAAGCAACCTCAAGAAATAAAAACGTATGCTCTTTTTCTAAAATTTTATTTATAGTGAGCCATGTAACAAGAATAACTCCAATATATTGTTGCATACTCAGACTGTTATCTGCATATGTCCAAAATTAAAACTATTTAATCAAATCAAAATGTGAAAACAGGTTTGCTCACAGAAGAAATTCATCATTACCAATGCAAGTTTGATAGATTGAGGATGTAAAAGGCACTTTGCCTTTGAAACTTAAACAAATACAAAGTTTTGGAGGCTGGAACCTGGGGAAATATTGTAAAGTGTGACAATAACCAGGAGAAATCTTGCAACCTATGACAATGATGACATTATTTTACCGAGCGACATAAGCTTATGTATAAAAAGTAGGATGTAGGGTTCATCTAGAGGCAAGATTAGCATTTATGCCAGGAGTGGAAGAAGGAATATTATCATCCACCATCCCATTATCAACCAAACATACAAGGCTCTTGTATTAAAGGGATAAGGAAACAAGAAAAGCAAGGGAGAGTTAATAGCAATAGGGGAGAATCTTTGAAAAGGTTCGTATAGAGAACAATGCAGTTAACATGTTAACAAGATTCATTGTAGAGAAGTTCAAGCACAGCTTAGACTTGATCAACCTCACTCATTGCTGAAGATTGATGCACTCCAAGATGAGAGTGCAGGGATATATTTCCTAGAAGGGGATGCAAGAGCAGGAAGCATCTACAAGATCTTCAGGGAGGTTATTACAAATCCAGGTGGAGATTGATGAATTCTAACTTGTATTGTACAGGGATGTTTCCGGTATAGATTGAATATAAATTAGGAAATCTCTATACGAGCTTGCTTTTTCTCTATGGTTGTAAACTTTTGAATTTAGAATAGTGAATCTTACATGGATGTAGACACAAAAAATGCAAAACCACATAAATCTTGTGTGTTATTTTCTCTTTACACTCTTTTCTTTCACTTCTTTTGATTTCCCTTCACAATTCAAAGTTCATCCGAAGGTATGCACTTAGCATCTGATATATTACATCTTTCCAAACTATTTCAAATGCTCATGTAGAAGAGCATCTCATTATATGGGGTCAGCGAGTAGAGCAAAAAAAGATAAAAAAGAAAGATTATTAACCGCATCATTGTTCAGAACAGTTAATTAAATTAGATCAAGAACTGAGAGTGAATGGGGGCTATCCTGTATTTCTCAACATATCTTTCTAAAGGAACTAATCAACTCAATGATCTTGCTCTTCCTTTGATTTTTACCATTGGTATGGGGCAGTGATTTAAAAGACGCGCCTAGGCACACAGGCAAGGCGCATTTTGGGGTATGCGCCTCGCCCAGGTCCTAGGCACACCCCTTTCAAAAGGCGCACACCTGGTGCGCCTAGGTGTGCACCTGATGCGCCTTGCGCCTCAACCCAGGCATGCACCTTTTTAAAATTTTGTGCTTTTTGCTATTGTTGTTCATTCATTCATTGCAATAAAATATCTTCTTAAAAGGCAATGAAAGTTATAAAATCATTTATTTTTATGTGAGAAATAAGAATTTCAAACCCTAACATAGAATTGTTCGGGCTTGCCTCGAGAGGCGTGGTACAAAGGCGACTCATAGAATCAAGAATGCAATATGTTTTACATCACATTAGCTACTTGAAGCAATGCAATTAAGGATAAAAAGAGATTGTGGGTTTTACATGCTTGAAAATGCTTTATATGTTTGCTTTTATTTTTAAATTTTCATTTGAATACGCTTTACATGTTATGTTTATGTATTTTAATTTTAGATAATTGGTTTTTTAAAACACTTGTTTTAAGATTTAAGTTTATATTTTTTATTAACATTATGTTTAATATTTTTTGCATTTTTTTAAATTTTTTGGCATTTTTTTGAATTTTCTGACTTTTTTATTTTTTAGCTTTTTTTGTAGTTTTGTGCCTTGCTTAATAAGGTGTGCGCCTCAGGTGCAAATTGGCCCTTGCACTATGGGATGGGGGTAAACTGTTACCTATAAAACTACCAACAAGGGTAAGAGGTCCAACCCTTTATCACCTAACCTTCTATCTTCATTAATATCATTACTTAGAAACAACTAATGACATTATCTCTAAACATTTCCCAACAACACTAGAAGATGTTAGGGAAATGAAAAATGGGTGAACTAAAAGAATTGCCTCTGCTTCATACCGATTTCACCTGGTCTAACCTTCAAACAAACCCTATTTGCTCCAAACTAGATAGATTTTTGTTTACTGTGGATTGGGAGGAGCATTAAGGAAACCTTGTATCTAGAGCCTTGCCTAGGGTAACTTCTGACCATTGGCCTATTTTCATTGCCAAAGAAGGAGTGGGTGGTTGGTGTCCAGTACCGTTCAGATTTGAAAACATGTGGTTCTGTCACCCGGGTTTTGTTGGAAAGATAACGGATTGGTGGGCCGAGAGTGACCCAAGTGTGAATTGGGAAGGGATGAAATTTCACTGGAAGTTAAAGGAGCTGAAATCTAAGATCAAGGAGTGTAACATTCAACAGTTTGGTAGGATTGAAGAGAAAAAACAGGAAGTGATAGATAGAATTGAGGAGCTGGACAGCAAAGAGAATGAAGGGACTTTTGAGGAAAGGGATAAGGAGGAAAGGTGGACCTTAAGGAAGCAATTAAAAGATCTATTATATAAGGAAGAAGTAAGTTGGAGATAGAAGTCTAGACAAAAATGGGTGAAGGAAGGTGACAGGAATACAAGGTTCTTTCATGCTAGGCAAATAGCAGAAGAAATAAAAATTTAATCTCTAAATTGGTAGTTGAAGATGTAACACTCACCCAGCAATCGGAGATAGCTGGGGCCTTTGTGGATCCTTTCAAATGTATTTATACAAGACCCCTAAATGGAAGAATTTGACTAGAAGAATTGAATTGGCCTAAGGTACCCAAGGAATAAAAGGTGTGGTTTGAAAGGAGGCTTGAATTAGAGGAAATAAAGGAAGTTGTGTTCTCAATGGATAGATCTAAAGCATCAAGACTAGATGGTTTTACAATGTCTTTTTACCAAGATTGCTGGAACATTTTGAAACACGACCTTCAAAGATACTTCAATGAATTCTTTGATAGGGATGTGATAAACCTAGGATGAATTTTAGCTTTGGTTCTAAAGAAGAGTGGTGCTATTCATCCTAAGGAGTACAGACCTATCAGTTTGATAAACAGCCTTTACAAGATCATTGCTAAGGTGCTCTCAAGGAGAATTAGGATTGTGCTTCCTCACCTCATCTCTCAGAATCAAGGTGCTTTCGTTAGCAATAGGAAGATAATGGATCAGATCCTAATACCAAATGAGAGTGTGGAGGAGTTGAGAAGAAGTGGGAGAAAAGGGGCCTTAGGGATGCTGAAGTCAACCATGTTTCAACCTTAATTCAGACCATGGGTGGGGTGGTCTTGGACCCAGGGAGAAGGGATAGTAGACTTTGGACTCTGACCCTAATGGAGAGTTTTCTTGTGCCTCCTTTTTTAAGGCCTTAACACAACCCTCAGGTAGTTCCAACATAGACTTTCCAGTTCTAGAAGTTTGGGGCAAACTGATTCCCCCAAGGATTGGTGCCTTCTGTTGGGAAGCCATTCTGGGAAGATGTAACACTTGTGACTTGCTCCAGAGAAAAAGACCTAATCGGTGCCTATCCCCTAATTGGTGTATCCTTTGTAAGGAAAATGGCGAGAGTTGCTATCACTTACTAATATCTTGCTCACTTGTCTCATATATTTGGGAATGGACTTTCTCTTTATTTGGTTGCAGATGAACACCCCCGCCAAATGTACAAAGCTTGTTCGCCTCTTCCTTCTTTAGGTGGCCAAAGAAGAGGGGTAGACTTCTATGGAGATGTGTTAGAGCTGCCATATGTTGGACAGTGTGGGAGGAAAGAAATTCAAGGATATTTAATGAAAAAGAGAGGAATAAGGAGGTCATTATTGAAACAATTACTATTAGAGTGGTGCATTGGGTGAAATCTCTAGATATGTTTGACAATACCTCCACAGATATAATAAGAAGAAATTGGAAGGAAGTGGCCAACTCAGCACATGCAAAAACCAAGGTTAGCCCCATTTGGTCTCCCCAGGCCTCTCTGGATTTACCAAGCTGAACTTTGATGGGAATAGTGAAGGTAACCCGGGGCCTTCGGGAATTGGAGGAACTTTTAGGGATGAAGATGGAAAAGTCCTTGCTCTATTTTCTGGTCCTATTGGTGTGGGTGATTCTCTGCAAGCTGAGATTCTGGCAGTGATGGAAGGAATGAAGAAGGCAAGGGAGCTGGGATGCAGCAAACTTATTATTGAAGGGGATTCAAAGTTGGTTATAGGATGGTTGTAAGAAGAAAAGAAAGGCCTTTGGAAGTTTGCTAATGAAAAGAGAATGTTCAAGCAGCTAGCACAAGGTGTGGAGATTCAGATTCAATGGGTAAAGAGGTGTGCTAATTCTTTTGCGGATACCCTTGCTAAACAAGGGGTGGGAAGGGAACAACTGTTTTGGGCTATTCTGTAATTGAATTAAATTCTTTGGAGAGGGTTAAGAGAGTTTACCCCTCCCTTTGTACTTCTTTCTAAATTGAAAGTTTAATGAAAGGTTGTTATTGATCCAAAAAAAAATGAACAATAAGTGAAGACAAAGTCCTAATAGATCTACTCAACAGCTTAATTTCTTTTTTTTTTTATAAATGAGTAAACATTTTATTAATCCAGCAGATAAGAGTTACAGGCAACCCAAGGAAAGGCAGAGATGAAACCTTTCCTTTAAGATTGCTCAAAGGATTACAATTTCAAGTGATAAGTTAAAGTTACAAGGTAGCCCAAAAAAAGAATCCCAATAGACCCCCTGTTTAGCAAGTGAGTCAGCCATCGAGTTTGCTAATCTGCCTACCCACTAGACTCTAACTGTCATATTCCTTGTTAGCC